GAAAAATCATCTTGTAATAAATATGAATAGACGAAAGAATGATTTTCCAACAACATTATATAAAAAAAACATCATCGAAACATATTGATTTTAAATCTAGAAAAAAAATTCATCAAATACTTTCTTTTTAATTGTTAGTCAATTAAGATTTATTTATGAGTTTGTTTTTTTTATAAGTAACTTATTCTAAAAATGATAAAATAGATTAATGTGAGAAATGAATTCATCTATAAAAATAAAAGTATAACAATAATTTGAAAATGATCTACTTTTTATTTTGAGGTTAATCGAATTCGAAGAGAAAATTGTTCAGTTCTAAGGAATTTCATGATTATTCCTCATATTTGAAGCCATTTTAATCGTAAGTTCTTTATTTTACACTTCTAATTAACGTTAATTAAAAAGTTGTATTAACGAATAATTAAATTCCCGACCATTGATGACCTGAAACAACAAGTGGTAAACTTTGATTTTCACAAAAAGGTTGTTGTTTAGGCTCAAATGAATAAATATTTCGTAATTTTAAAGATGCAAAAACTGCCAAGCGACCATATCCACTGTTTTTAGTAATTATATGTTGTTCACATAAACTGAATAGAAAACTATCAAACATTCCTAATTGAAAAGCTAACATTCGATTAGCTGCAAAGAATATATGAAAAACTGGATCGGCATTCGCTAAAATATTTAAACTACTGCTATTCGATTGACATTGATTGTTCAATGATTGAAAACATTCTAATGAAAATTTCCAACGTTTTAAAGCAGCTTGACGTACTTGATGACCATCAGCTAAAAGAAAAATAATTGGAATTTGATTTGTTTGACGAAATAATTTCTTATTTGTATTAATTATTTGTTGAGAACATGTAAAATAGCTTTGAAAATGTTTAAGATTTGTTCGTTCTTCAAAAATAGGACCAAATCCCATCATTGTTTCATCACCAGCACGAATTTGAATTCCAATTGGAAAAGATCTTGATGATAAAAGTGTTTGTAAAATTTGTTGAGATGAATGACCTAACTGGTTATTTGATGAAATTAATGGAACTCTTCTGATTAATTCAGGGAAACGATAAGTAAAAAGAGAATGATAAAGACATCCAAACATATTCTCTGGATTCATTTCAAGATCAATAGTTAAAAATTTTCTATAAATACTTGAATTAGATGTAATCATATGTGTAACACCTCCTGTATGACTTTTAAATACAACAATACGTTCACGACAATGTTTTTCATAATCATAATCTATATTATATCGATCCAAAGAAAACCAATAATCTTCTATTGTTAACTCTTCTTGCAAATTTAACGATAAATTTTCTATAATCAAATCCATTTGAGAAAACCAAGGAATAACGAATTCTGGTTGATAATTTAAACTTGATTGCATCACATCTAACAATTCTGGCCAATTTTGATCAAATATAAATAATCGGTTTGTTAATACAGCTATGAAATACGTTGTTATTAAATGAATTATTCTATCAGCAATACCTGTTAGAGATTTTTCATAGATTAAAAACCGAACATTAAGTTGAATTATACGTTGAAATTGTTCTTCAAATGTCATTGATCGATTACTAATAGCCTGACTAATCTTTTCATGCCATTTTTGATAATTTAAAATCCAATTTTGAAATTTCTTTGAGCATACTTGACCATTTTTTGCTATTTCAAATGGAACTAGGCGTCTTGTTTTTAATGATTTAGTAGTTTTAATCGGTAACTTTTTATAAATTGACACATCATTTTGTAAATCAAGCCAATATGAAACAGCTTCTTGTTCTCTAGTGAATAATCCTCGTGAAGTTGAATGACTTAAAGTATCTACAGAACAACATGGAAAAGAATTGAAATCTAATTTTGAAGATTGATTTTTATTTTCAGATAAATTCTTTAAAGCTAAATTTAAACATATCATTGTTAAAGGCCATTGAGACCAAGACAATAGTTTTGTTTGATTAAAATTCGACCATTGATAAGTAAAACGAAATTGATCATCAACTAAGAACATTTGATGAATATCAAGAGATATAATATCAGATGTATTTTTTAATGATAATAAACAACTTGAGTTTTTTGATAAAAGGATTAAATGAAGTTTTGTTAAATTGAAAATTTTCATACGAAAATTCAAATAAATATGGCAAATCGAATTAAAGTCTTTTTTATTTTTCGATTTTTTTAAACAAGTTATTTTAACACAATCAATTTTCTCGTTGAAATCATTTTTGAAATCATTCAAATAATTTTTTCCCATGGATGTTAAATTTAACTTTAATGTCAAATAATGATTATGAAATATTGGTTGAAATAAATCTTCTTCCATACGACACAATTGTTTTTCATATAATAAAAGTAATTCAATCTTGGATCTTCTCATTAATATTGAATGACTTCGAGAAGTTTTTTCATAGATTGATTTTAATTTGAGATCATTTTGAAAAATATAAAAAAGAATCAAAAGAAATGTAATCAAACCAAAAATTGGTCGATTCTTTTTAACTGAATATAATATTTTCTTGAACATTCTTAAATATAGTTGTACCATTGTTAGTAATATACAACAATCAAAAATCTGAAAATTTATTATTAAAGAACCGTGAGAAAAAGATAAAATTTTTATCAAAACTCAATTGAGTTGGATAACACACTGAACATAATTAGAGAATAAATAAGAAGAATGAGAATTATTCTTTTATTTTTATCTATTTATCTTGATCTCGTATGATTTATCTATGTTGAATATTTAGGGCTATCTAAAAATATTGGTGAAGATATTTTAATTCATCATAAAAGGCTTAAAGAAACATTTTCTATATTCAGACCTTAGAGAATTTTCTAAAAACTTGCTGAATCTTTTTCTGTTCCGTAGACACCACTTTTGTTAAGAAGAGGTTACACATCAAAAACAACATGTAATCTAATATTATCATCACATATTATAGATAAAAAGTTTATTTAAGCTTTTGATAACGAATTAAAATAGTTTCACCACAACATTTAGAGTGCCCTAAGTACATTTTATGTTTAAAATTTCAAAAATAGTCGTGCTTTTCTTCTCTCTTGTTGATCTCATATAAATGATCGGCCTTCTTTAAATAAAAAGGAAACTTTGGTATGGGTGTTTGTATAGTGTGGAGCCTTTGTTCGACGACACCCACTTCAATTTGCTTTTATCTCCACTCTTGTCAGATGATTTATATATTTGTAGTAATAAATCACTGTCCATTTTATAATGAATCTTTTTTCTTGTCAAAAACTATTCACCGCTGCGTGAATTTATAGAAAAGACATAGATTTCACATATATTTTCTACTTATAAAGAGATTAATTCAAAATAGTTTCATATGATATATTGTCCCTCAAATGATAATTTCATTTGATGGCTATCGAATTTAGAAAACACTAAAGCTATCATTGTATATTTACCATCATTGATAAATACTTCGACTGAATATGGATTCACAATTACTTGAAATTTCGATATAATGTGATAGATCTAATTCAATTTGACTTTTTCATCTATATATTTGATTTCTCTATATTCATTTTTGTCGAATATGAAAAATGTATAATTGTTGACTTTTTAATAATATGAAATTCAGTTGAAAGTATAAATACGTAAATGAAAAAAGTTCATAAACAGATGATTGTCGAAGACAATAGGTATTTCTAGATGAAATAAAATGTATTTTAAGCTGACGCGAAATAACCACTTGACTCTGCCACAATCGAGATACTCATTCAAGAAGTCATTGTTTGTTTTCCATCACATTGTGTAATATTGTATTAAGTAATTCCTAAAGATAAATTGGTCAAAGAAAATCAAACAAAAAGATTCCAGAGTTAAACCATATTTTCAGAAGTATACATCGATACAAAGAAGTTCCAGAAAATACTCAAATACTTTGTTTCTCAAAATTTGAAATAACTATGAATACTTAAATGTCATTGCTTCCATGAAGACTATAAGCAATATATTGTTCTTGCTATGTATAAGTAGCAATTATTTAAAGTATAATTATTTCTTTCTCAATCTTAGTAGCAGTATTTCAAACAATAAGAACTTATTCATCTTGATTTAGATTCAAGAAGATAATCCTGATAGAAGAGATATCAGCATGAAAAATGAATTTAAACACGATGTTGATGTCAATATTTATGTTCAGTCAGCTGGAAGAAATATGTGACAATAAAGTCTACAACAATATCAATAAGTTTATCTTACATGTATTCTCTTGATAGATAAGTAAATTGATTCGTGTACCAAACTAAATATTTCATGATAAAAGTTACTATACAAAAGCCAATACACCAACTAGTATTGTTTGTGATTCATTTGTAAAAATATGTTTACTACGACATGAGATGATGAATACATCTATTAAAAAAATATGAAACCAGATTTTTCGCATTGCTGCTGGATAGAATAATTTTTTAATACTATTACATATCTTCATTTTAAGCGACATTATTTCTTACTAATACATGTGTCTTTACAATGGTAATGAAAAAGAATAATATAAGATACGGATGATTAGCTCGACGATCGAACAGATATATGACAGCATATATGAAACGATATTTAACGATTACTTATCAATATGCAATAGTTGAAACAGAGAAAAATGTGGAAGTATAAGTTATATGATCTGTTAACATTGTTGGAATCTCTTTTTTTTGTTTGGGAAAAATATATAAATGGTTTACTCTCCTTTTTAATCAAAGTGCCTTGTTTTTTTAACTATTGCTTATGTAGAGGGAAATCACATACTAGATAAGGATGACGATCATTAGAGTAATGCGTTTCATTTGTTTCAAATGATGTAAATATTAATCGTTGACGAATGGAGTGCAATCGTAATGTTTTTTTAAATGTTATTAGGGAATTTGAAGCATTTTCATTTTAGAATGAATCAGAAAAACGTGCGTGTTCTAGATAGTAATCAAGTATACACATCAATAGTATGTAATAATTTACCTTTTTTGTTTATACAGAACAGAAAATAAACATATATTCAGTTGTATTCATACATACCATTTCTTGAACAAAAGAAACCGACTCATATAGAAATGCTTTTGAATGCATCGTTTTTATCTTTCAGAGCTGGGACCGGTTCGGTTTTTAACCGAACCGAACCGACCGACCGTAACCGAAATCGGTTCGGTTGGAGATTTTTAGAGAATTCGGTCGGTTACGTTCGGTTCGGTTAGAGACTTTTTCGGTTACGGTCGGTTCGGTTAGAAATTTTAAAAAATTCGGTCGGTTATGTTCGGTTCGGTTAGAAAGAATCAACATAATCGTTTCATTTGAGTTCAATGGACTTTTTCAGTGAAACATAAGAAGAAAAAAGAATATAATCGTACAACAACTAGCTGTTGCTCGCAACGCGGATTATCTCACATATTTTTAAAATTTGTCCTGAGAGGTAAGGAAGTTATAATACAGTAAGAAGATCCGATAAATAATCTTTATTCTTTGCTTTCTCTAAGTGTTCATTATTTTTAGTTGCTTTTATTTGATTTGTTGTTGCTAATTTATAAAGCACTAATACCCTAACTAAAATAAGCTAAACTTCGCTTTCTCTAAACTCGGTTCGATTACGAAATTTTTGAAATTCGGTCGGTTACGGTCGGTTCGGTTAGAAATTTTTAAATATTCGGTCGGTTACATTCGGTTCGGTTAGAGATTTTTTCGGTTACGGTCGGTTCGGTTAGAAATTTTAAAAAATTCGGTCGGTTACGTTCGGTTCGGTTAGAGATTTTTTCGGTTACGGTCGGTTCGGTTTGGCAAAAATGCCAACCGATCCCACCTCTGTTATCTTTCATGATATTTTTATATGATATGTTGCTGCGTCAGAATATTCTTAAACTGTCACTAGATTGAAAGTAGATTTTAATTGAGATAATGAGGTGTTCTTGAAAATATATTCATTGTATCCTTTCATATCTTTTTATTGAACAGTCATTCCAAAGAAGTAATAACTGATGTTTTATTTCGTGTTTTGGAACTAAGATATCGCTAGTTGAAGCAAAATTCGATTAAACTCATTTAATTTAGCATGAAAAAAAACAGTTATCCAATTAGAGTAAGAACAAATAAATCATTACTAGTAAATGAATACAATATTATTTTGAAAAACTAAGGGAACTTATGATAGAACGCTGAAAGAACTCATTAAGAAATGTGTTGCAATTTTCTCACAAATATCAATAAGCCGGTTTTGTCTAATCTCCTTTCAGGTTTATGTAGCTCAGGTAGTTTTTCACAATTGTAATGCAAAGTAAAGTAGCAGGTATGAAGTGCTTTTCTTCTTAAGATAGTTCAAGTTAAGAATTGATAAAAAATTTTCTCTACACACATCCTAAATTTACAAAGAAACACTCTAGGTTTCTGTCACATGATCCGAAAGGTTGTCTAGGACCAAGTGTAGTCATGTTTCATTGACTTTTCAGACACTCTAATTTAATATAAAATCTCAGTTCAAAAGCAAGGAAACATAGCAGCAGGTTTTCTTGCAATATAATGTCATTTCATTTTGACGTCGATATTTCTTGTTTTTAACTGCACTAATCTGCGTCGAGATCGACTAGCAAAATGTGCTGGTGATAATGAAAAATGAACTGTACATAATGAGTCATTCGAATACTTGGTGGAATAACTACGATTGTATTTATTTTCGACATGCATCATAAATATCTTGATGAATTCTGTATCAAAGACCTTGCTTAAGTCTTCAGAATAATCATCATTATAAATGACGACTGAATTCATAGATATAGACTTGACATCGAGTTTAAAAAGGCTCATTGTGACTGTAATTGAATTATGCAGTACACTGTTGGATGTGAATGTTGAACTCTACTCCATACATATCGACTCTTTGATTGTACTGCTCTGTAATGAACTGAAAATTCAGTAAAACCATCATAATATAAAAAGAAAGTACTGATGGCACACAGGCTTTTACAATTTCGTCTGCAAACAAGTCTTATAACAAGCAAAACAAATATGAACTTGAACGGAAATTATCAGTTTGAAAGATTCCTTCGTCAGGTCGAATATTTTCTTTATCTTCGTTTGTAAATTATATTCTATATTGACAATCGAGAAAAACATAC